AATGAGTGAAACTGACATTTAATTATTAAAAAAATAATAATAAATCAATAAAAATTTAGTGATTTATCATTTAATTGAGTATTTTGTTCTTACAATCTTTATTTTTCATCAACAAAGTAATTTTTTATTTTTAATCAACAAAATCCTTATTAATCTTCATGATTTACATTATAATTCATCCACTAAGTTTTTATTTTTCATTAACAAAGCAATTTTTATTTTTCATCAACAAAGCCCTTATTAATTTTCATGATTTAAATTATAATCCATCCATTAAGTTATTATTTAATTTAATTGAAGTTACAAAATTGAGAGGTTGCATTAATGTATTAATAAGGTAACAAATGTGCTAAAGGTTCTATTAATATATTAACTAGGACATTCGTTCACTAAAAAATGAAAAAAAAAAAAAGAAAAAAGAAAAAAAATACGCATGAAAATTCATGACTTATCTTTTCAATTGATTAATTTTTTTTTTTTTTTTACATTTTTTATCAACAAAATCCTTATTAATCTTCACAATTTACATTATAATTTAAGCATTAAGTTATTATTTAATTGAGGTTGTAAAATTGAAAAGATGCATTAATATATTAATGAGGTTACAAAATATGTTATAGTAAATAACTTCTAATTATTAGAGTTTCTAATATTGGTAATAATCCTTTCTACTTCCAATCACTTTTACCCTACGTATGAATGATTGGAAAACATTCAATTGATTATTTTATTTTGAAAATTTTTATTTTTGATCAACAAAGTCCTTATTAATTTTCATAATTTACATTATGGTTTCTACATTAAGTTATTATTTAATTAATATATATCATTTGGTTTGAAATTAATATAAGGAGTTGAATGACATTCAATTACTTTAAAAAAAAAAATTAAACGGAAATTCAGTGACTTAACATTCAACTGACTATTTTGTTCTTAAATTTTTTATGAGAAGGCTATTGTGTGGCAAAAAAAAAAAAAAAATTAAAATGTGTGAGTCCAACTTTACATTATGGCAAACATCGGTTAGACATATTTTGATTAACAAAGTAATATTATTTATTAACTTTGGTAATTTTTAATTAAATATTTTTAAAAAATTGGCCAAATAAGAATTTAATATGAAAGTAATTATGACCATTATAGCTAACAAAACCAACCAACCAACCTTCCTCATTCTACCTCCATGCCATTAGCTATAAAATCAACCTTGCTCGTTCTATTCCATGCTCAAAATTTATAAGTAAAATCAACACAAAAGGGTAAGAACTATTGTTAATAAAAGCAATTTTTCTTATGCTAGAGTTTCTCAAAATCTATTTCTAAGTTGACGATAATTGTGAAGGTTTTTTTTTTTTTTTCATTTATCTTGATTTGCATTTGAAATTGATTTATAATTTCATAGATTTAATTGTATCACTAACTTTTTAATTTTGAATGACATAAACATTGCAGATGAATACATCATCGTCGAAATCACTAATGAAAAATGAGGTTTGATTTATCAATAGATCGACAAAATAAGTCAGGTCATCAATTTAATTTGAAAAATATTATCTTTTTCCATTTTGTTAGTTGTTAATATATATTTTTGTTGTCATATCTTAAATTTGTTTTCATATTTGTAGGATTGATGTCACCAAACAAAAGTTGCGTTCATATTTTTATAAAACATTTGCCTTTGAAGAAGAGTGGATTATAAAAATATCCATACTCCAAAAAGTTCCATTGAGATCTATAGCAACAAAAATGCCATGTTGAAGTTTTAAAACTAATTTTTTTTGATGAGGAGGTATTGTATTATGTTAGAATAATGTTTCTTATAGAATTTTCACTTTAGACTAATAGTTATTTTTTTATATATATAATATTTTCAGGATAGTAAGATTCGAACTACGTTGTTTAAGCACACAATTTAAAAAACATTTCCTATACTTGAGAAAGAAAAAAACATACCGACTTCAAAATAGAAAAATAAGAGCAATCAACCTCTAATACTCAAATGTGAATGATGAAACTTCAGAATTACACTTGATCAATGCAATGTTCCCGAATTTAATAGAAAATGCAGCTTCTTTTGATTATATGACACAACGTGGAATTCTTTCAACCAAAAATGAGTATGCTGACTACCTCAATGACAAACTAATTAGATTATTTTCTGCAGAGAGTGAAGAATTTGTTAGCTTTGCCAACACAATAGATGATTCAAAACAATTTTACCAAAAAGAGTTCCAAAATACATTGTTGTCAAATGGTATCCCACCACATAAGTTAATCTTGAAAAGAAATTCTCCAATGATGCTTTTAAGGAATCTAGACCCATCCAATGATCTTTGCAATGGAATAAGAATGATTTATCGTGATTTCAAGAAACATATTATTCATCCAGAAATAATCGTTGGACAACATTCTGGAAAACAAGTCTTCCTTCCACACATCTCATTAACTCCAGCAAATGATGAAGGATATCCATTCAAATTCAAGAGGAAACAATTTCCAATACGTCTATACTTTGCAATGATAATTAACAAGGCTCAAGGACAAACATTGCCTACTGTTGGAATATAACATTGCCTACTGTTGGAATATATCTTCCTAAACATGTATTCTCTCATTGGCAACTATATGTCGCACCTTCTCGCTGAGTTTCAATGCAAATAACAAAAGTTTTAGTAAAAGCAAAAGACAAAAAGAAGAACAGATGTCAGACTTCAACAAAAAATATTGTGTACAAAGAAGTATTATTGCAATCATATCATTACATTTTAGTTTATTCAACATTTTCACATTATATACATAATTTCATAAAAACTATATATATATACACACATTCAATTGTAATATTCCTTTTAACAATATCAATTATCTCTATTATTTTAAAAAATGCTATTAGTAATTCAAAAATAGTACATATATCATTCATCGATACATAAGACGTACAATGCACGTGCTTTACTACTAGTTTCATTGAAAGGTGTTTGAAGCCGGAACCGATAGTCGCCATGGAAATTAAATTTTGTCCTTGTGACACAATTGTTCATGGTAATGTTTACATTCCATAGGCTAACGAGTACCGGTAGTTGACAAGGATATGATAATTCATTCTCTTGTTGGTTTGATGAGGTATTTCAGAAAATGCCTTTATTGGCTAATTAATGCTTGAGATATTATCTTGAATTTACACAAAATACTGCAAAAATTTGTCAGAATCTTCGTTGTCAATTTCCTGCATGAATTCATAATGATCCAAAGCTATGTTACTTTTGTCATCTTTCTCCATAATATTTACAAGATTCTTCCTTTACCATAATGCATAATGCATATGCTGAGAGAGTGATGTATGTGTGGATTACTTGAGTTACTTGAAGAGGATAACTTCCCCCCTCTTGGTTGCATAATGTTAATTCCCAAATTTAACCAAAATTGCATAAATTAAATCAGTCTGACTGGATAATATCACACCATTCTGTCATTGGTTGAATATATCCAGTTTGTGGGTCCTCAAATGATTAATAATGCTACTTTGCCATAAAGATATTGACATATAACTTGACATAATTGGTATTGGGAAGATATGACTGGATGAAAAAAATTGGTTGTGTTTTAAATGGTCAAATAATAGAATGAGATGTGGATTATATCAAGAATTATGTCAACTATTCTGGAACTACAGCATGATTCTTTTCTTGATTATGGTTTTCGTGTGGCTTTTAAAAAAACTACATTGATTGCAAATAGTTGCCATGTTTCTATCATTTCAACTTGTGTGCTACTAAATGATATGAATGTTAGAATTTTGTATAGAAAATTGGTTTTGATCAATTTTCAAATGATTTTTTTAAGTGAAAATCATTGAGAAATGAGAAATTAAAGTCAAATTTAAGCCGCTTAAATTCGTTAAATTGTTGAAAAACTATGTAGACTTTTATGGAATATTCTAAAACTATTTGGATGAAAGTTATGTCTTTTTGGAAATGATATTTTTCGAAATTCACATCCTTTTTGTTGTAGAGATATCTCTTTAGACATGTATTTTTCAACAAGACGTGTCTTTTCGTTGAGCCGTGTCTTTTGAGATACAACTTTTGGACCATTATATATGGACCTTTTGGAATTATTCAATTATTCACTTCATCCTTTCATTTTCATATCAATGCATAATCACTTAAAAGTAATTTTTGCACTGATTTTTAGTCGAATTTATATAAAGAGAAATAAAAATGTTTACTTCGACTGGGTTGTTTGAAAAAAAGTAAGACAGATTAACATAGTAGGTAAAATAATTATGACACTAATAACTATGTATAATCAATTAAGTAAACATTGTTATCACAGTCTAAGACCGTCCTATCGAAGTTTTTCTATCTCTGTAAAAAAAAAATTATATTTTTTTTTTACGATTGTACTTTGTTTACTCCAGAGTTTACATATTTGCTTATCAACACATAATGTGATGAGATTTGATTGATCTAAGCAAACAAATAAAAAGAAAAAATAATTCATCGATTTCTTTTTGTCAACTCATCAATTTATAATGAATTTATAAATGGTGATATACGACAAATATTTTTCATTTTTTTATGCCATGTGAACTTGATAAAGTGCTTGACATATTTTACTGGAGAATTTTTTTTTTAATTATGGTATAATTTGCCTCCGTGACCCCCCGGGGGAGAGGGAAAATCCCCTTTCACTCCAAATGTTTATCGTAAATTGCAAATGTAATAATAATGCTATTTATTTTCTTTTTAATATCACATCAAAGTGGAATAATACTCAATTGGGCTCCGATGGGCTTTCGTTTTCATTTATTTAGCCCATGCCCGTTGAAACCTCATAAATGAACGGAAAAATTACCTAGAAACCTACATTTAAAGAATAATTTTCAAAAATAAGAGAAATTAATTTTTGTTTCACAAATCAAGTGATAATTAGATTTTAATAAATATAATTATTAAAAATTTAATTAAACCTAACAAATTCACCCTATGCACCCCCAATTCATACCAAACCCTATCTTCATCATTCTCTCTACCTTCTCTCTATCTATACCCCTCACTACCTACCCACCTCTACCACTCTTCTTTTTGATCGGTAAAGGATCAAATTTATGCCATGGCTACCGCTTTGGCATTGGCTTTGGCTATGGGTGGCGACGCCTTCGGAGGAGGTTATGATGTGAGTAGCTCTACCATATCTCGTCTATGACGTCACTGCTCCTCCGCATGCAGCGGCCAAGCATTGCATCATCGCCACTACTTGCAAACGAACTATGGTTTTATCATTATGCTAAGAAGATAGGACATTACTGACTGACCAACTATGATTTGAGTATTTCTTTTCAATTTTCCATTGCTCATCAATGTTTAGGATTTTGTCATTCATTCTGTAATGTTTTCTTAATGAAGTTCATTTTTCTGGCTTTTTCTTGATGAAAGATTTTTAAGTGTTACATTTGATTATGAAAAATGCTCTATTGGCAAAAAAGAGAAAAAAGCATGGATAGTTATAATCAAAATAATTTTATAAGACATGTATGAATTTGTTATTCATGTTACAATTTGTTCCCTTAGTTACCCATTAGTCAGTTTTCAGATTGTAACTTGTCCAGCACAGCTTAATGAAGCAAGAAATCCTCATAAATGTTCAACCATATCTGTATCCAATTGGAATTTTCATGCTTAGAACTTCATTCCAGATGTTGAACGCCTATTTATGGAGTTAATTAAAATGCCAAAATATAAAATATGTGTTTAGGATGCTTTATTCATGTAGACCCTGGTGAATATTATTTTTACAGTACTACCAAAGCAAAAGTTCCCGTAAATTTAAATCGGTTCTTTTTTCTTACATTTAGATTTGTCATCCCTACTCTTTTTGTTTTGTTATTTGCAAGCTAATGTTTATTTAGATCTCCAATCATGAAATGGTCCAATAGTAATTAGTATGAGGACGTATGATTTATGTGTGTATTAATTTATTTGAGCAAGAAGAATGCCTTGCATGTAGGAGGCAGTTTGGTGGATACAAGAGCTCAACACATTGCTGTGCAAGTTGTGAGAACATTGTATGGCAACCACAAGGTGACTTCTTTTATAAAGGTGGTCGAGGTACCAGTTCCTCTCAGAAAAGAGTAAACCTGTTCTCATTGATGGTGAGTTTGAAGAGAAATGGATGAAGATCTAGAGATGGCTTTGATGTCCTCTACATGTAGTACTCATATGCAAATGATGTCATACAAAAACATAAGGGATGTTTTTTTTTTTCTTTTCACATTACACTAATTACTTTCAGTTCATATTCAGTTATTGTGTATATTATGTATCATAGGTAGGATATGATTGTCTTAATATTTGTAGGCTGAGAAATGAAAGTAACATCACTTTTATTGTACAAATTTTTCATCATGAGCAATTGTGGAATATTTTTTCTTGGTTTTGGATTGCTTAATTGTATTTTTATAGAGTAAGGTTCTTTTGCAAAATAGATCTCAAGGTGATCTCCAACTTGGGATCTTGGAAATATCACACTTTGCTGCAAGTAGCATTGACGGCGCTAAGGATTGATGCCTCTTTTTCCGTGGGTGATTGACTAGAATTTCATAGAATTGGACTCTGGCTCAACCTTCTTAAGGAAATGATTATGAAGATCGAGGGGGGGGGGGGATTTTGAATGGTCATTTAGAGTAGCAAAGAAAAGTTTTAGATAAACATGAATTGGGAAATTTACATTCTTCTTGGGAATTCATTGTCATGGATTGAAGTTGAAGGTGGTAGTGGTGGTGCATTGTAGGTGATGGTGGTAGATTGTGGTGCTGGTAAATGGTATGTGTAGATTTATTTGTGGTGATTTTCCGTGATTAATTATGTGTTTATTGTGATTGATTGTGACCAATTCCGTGTTGATTGTGACCAATTGTGACTTGATTATATATCAACTTGTATATCATCACAATTAAGATGACCTGGTTACAGATAGTTATATTGAAGACAAATTTGGTCACATTTATTCATACTACAGATAAATTTGGTCACATAAATAACACATGTTGATGACTCGGTCAAAAATTAGATGGCTACGGACAATCACATTGAAGATAAATTTGATCACAGTTAGTCACATATAACATAAGTTAGTGACTTGGTTACATACAATTACAAATTTGATTAATGCAAGTTGCAGTCAGACAATAATACGTCATAGTTAGATAACAAAAGTCAAAATGAAAGCATTACAAGTCAAAAATATTCACACTGAAAATACACCTGATCACAGACAATCACAAATAACACAAACTTGGTCACAAAAAGTCACAATAAAGATATAAAAGGTCACATATAGACATAATTAACAAAAATTGGTCAGACAAAAGTCATCATTAGCATATTAGATTACATAACACTGTTAACATAGACACAGTTACATATAGTCATAGTCAATGCGACACCGATCATATATAATCGAAATTAAGATAGGTCATGTCACAAATAGTCATATTTAAGAAATACTTGGTCACTAACGATCACATTTACGAAAACCATAGTCATATACAATCAAAATTAAGTTAAAACCGATCATAAACAATCACATTAAAGACATACATGATCACAAATAATAATAGCTTACATAGATCTTGTTTCACAAATAATCATATTTAAGAAAGAAGAAATACCTGGTCACATACAATCAAAATTAAATTAAACATGGTCACAAACAATCACACTAAAGACAAACATGGTCACAAATAATAATAACTTACATAGACCTTGTCACAAACAATAAAAACTTACACATACCTAGTCACATACATACAGGGACAATTAAGAATACATAGTCAAATAATTATTAATTATAAATGTTAAGATATACAATGTCACAGTTATTAATTACAAACTACACAATTAATCGATCACGGTCACTAATTTTTCTTAGCACAAATCACACTATTTCTATTAGTCATAAATCACACCATTTTCCTTTATTTTAAGTTTAGAACCTCACTTGCTAGTCTCTTATTATAAAATAGAAATTTGAGGATTTACTTATCTATTATTGGAAGTTATCAACCAAATGTTTGATAGAATAGAAAATTTGGGGCTTCCTTTGCAAAAAATTGGAGTTAGCGCCCCACTACCTAGCATGCACTTGTATCCATTTTCTTCATTTGATAGAAACAGAGGCTGAAAACAGGAAGTAGAGGACAGAGAGCATAAACGAGGAAAAAGGGAGGCAAAAAAAAGGGAGAGAGAAGTAAGGAAGAAAAATTAGGTGCTAACAAGCTTAAGTTACATTCTTCAATTTCATTTCAAATTTCATAGTAATTTCACAAATTCACTCCCAACTTAGTTTCAATTTGTTGCTCCTCATGCGCATCACCGCCTATGGACCTCCCAAATTCACCCAAAAAAATGGTTGTTTGCAGTAGCGGAGTCCTCGGAGTCTATACTGTTTGCTTCTTATCCAAAAAGGCGCGGCTGACATACTTATAGAAAAATTATTCGTTACTTTTGCCACCTTCGGTAAGGCCAACCATTACATTTCGTCTCTCTCACTCAACAGCTAAAGAAAGAGGAAAACAATACACAGGAAAAACAAAAGAATTCGAAACCCTAAATTTGGAAAATGAAAATGGTAAGGTGATTAAGATCGGTTCTTCCATTCGTCCATCGAGTCCTCGCCTCCGACACTATTTCCATCGTCGTGGCCCAAAGATCCAATGCACTACAATCCCTTTTCCAACCTCTCACCAACATCGAATTATAGTAGATTGGGGTGGGTATGGTTGGTGAATTGGGGTTTGTATGGAAGATTGAGGCATTTGTGTAGAGAAAGACTATTGTGGTTTTCTTAATTTCATGCGCAATAATATCTTACAAATATATGTAATACCTGATTTTTGAAATATTTTGTAAGTTTGTTAAATGTGAAATTATGTATTTAAAGTATTATATTTACGTGTTTTTCCCTAAATGAACAGCTTAGGCCCGTTAAAAGGCTATCATCGGCGATTACTTCCCTCCAGGCTCCAACAGGCAACCACAGCATTTGAGGTGAATCATTTTATTTTAATTTTTTCTACCTTCAATACTAGATAATTGTATTCATTTTTTTTTCAATTTGTGTTTATTATTGGAGTAAGAAATAAGACGGCAGTTTTGATTTACACGCATTAGATTATCCAAGTCTGAAGTTCGTAATTGTGTACTTGGAGACCCTGGGTGTGTTTGTTTTAACTGTTAAAAATTAGAGCTTTTGCAGATTTCCCACAAATTTGCAAACTCCAATTCTCCTACTTTCACTGCAGTGTCTGCTCTTCATCGGTTCGTCCCATTTGAAATATTTTTGTATGTTTGTTAAATGTGAAATTATGTATTTAAAGTATTGTAGTTACGTGATTTTCCCTAAATGAATAGCTTAGGCCCGTTAAAAGGCTATCATCGGCGATTACTTCCCTCCAGGCTACAACAGGCAACCACAGCATTTGAGATGAATCATTTTATTTTAATTTTTTCTGCCTTCAATACTAGATAAATTTTTTTTTTTCAATTTGTGTTTATTATTGGAGTAAGAAATAAGATGGCTGTTTTGATTTACACGCATTAGATTATCCAAGTCTGAAGTTTGGAGACCCTGGGCGTGTTTGTTTTAACTGTTAAAAATTGGAACTTTTGCAAATTTCCCACAAATCTGCAAACTCCAATTCTCCTAACTTCACTGCAATGTCTGCTTTTCATCGGTTCGTCCCGTTTGGCCCATTTCAGAAACTCTCTGCTATTCCTAACTCGTTTGATGTGAATTCTAGTCTTAAAATCTTCTTAGAAAAATGTTACTTATATATATTGTGTGATTGAAATATTGGGATATATGGTAATTAGGAGGTTTGGCTATGCCAAAATGATATTGATAGACTAGGAATATGTTATGATCTCTCCTGCTTGAAGTGGTTAGTAATTTGGTGTCACTGAATCATTTATAATTACCCACTTTTAATTTGTGATGGTTTAGTGAAAAGCTAGTTTGATCCACAATTCATTGGACGTGATGGGAAAACTTGTATATCATGTCTCTTATGTTTAATGATGTTCTGTAGAATGTGTTGAATATGCTCAATACAGCTTTGTTTGGTAATAAATAAGTGACATCAAATTAGAACTTGCTAAACCTCTAATGTGAAAGTAGATTCAAATCATTTTTAAACTCAAATTTGAATCTTTAATGCTTTGCGGCCTTAAAAAAATTTGAATTCTAGATAAAATTTAAGATCAAATGAAATTGTCGACCGGTAGTCTCTAATTCTACATTGCAAAGCCCAACCAGTCTGTACTGGAGCTTCTGTCCTGTTCCTAAGTGTCACAACTGATAATGTCGTCGATCTTGACTGAATAAACAAGTGGGATCCGATTAGAAATGTCAAAATGTGCGGCTTAGGTTTTGTTTTCCACGCTTGGTTGCTTGGCTGACTTTACATTTGGGATGTACCTGCCCAGGCTCTGGCTTGTGTGGGCTGGTTTTTAACCAAAAAAAATATTTAAACTTGTGTAGGAAAATAATATATAAAAAGTGAAAAAATGTATGCTCGGGCCAGCCAAATAATTTTCGGCATATTGGCTTACCAGATACCATGGCAATGAGATTTATATATATTTGTTAAAATCTCTGCTGATCCTTCAAAGTTGTGACCCTAACCACTTTTCTAAAAGTCATGCATTGGTGGTGCTTAGGCACAACTAATGCGTGATGCGTGGCGGAAACGTCAAATCAATTGGCTTGGCGCCTTATTTAGTTGTCAACATCAATTGTTGATAGCTAATGTGCGCCTAGGCACGGTTATGCATACCTAGGCTCACATAATTATCTTTTTTTATTTTTTACACTTCTTCTAAGTTAGAACTTAAATATTGATTTCTTCACTTCGTCAGTTCTAAATTCAAAATAGCCACTTGAAGCCTTAAATAAATGAAATCTCTCAAAAGTTCCTATTTATTTAATATTTATAATTGGAACTTATCTTTTTGTTGAAAGCTTTAGAATAATGTATAAATTTCTATAAATTTGTTTTAAATGTTTGGAGGTATTATTTTTAATTATTAAACGATTTTATGATTGATTAAAAATTAAAATAATATTAAAATAAGAAAATGTTTTTTTGCGCCTAGGCTCGTCTAGCCTATAGCTTGACGTTCACATATCGCCATGTATTATGCCTTTTAGAACGCTAACCCTAACTAACTAGAGGTTTACAATCCATCGGCTCCCCACAACCCTCTGGTAATTTTCTATCCTCCTTTCAGTATAATCTATATCTTTATAATTACATAAGTAATCTATATCTTTATAATTACATAAGTAATCTATATCTTTATAATTACATAAGTAATCTATATCTTTATAATTACATAAGTAATCTATATCTTTATAATTACATAAGTAATCTATATCTTTATAATTACATAAGTAATCTATATCTTTATAATTACATAAGTAATCTATATCTTTATAATTACATAAGAATACCTCTGTTGGCTTCTTCAAACTCAAGATATTTTAAATTAACAAAGTAAAGATTTTTTTTTGTCAGAAGCTTTTGTTATCAATTTCCTACATGAATTCATATTGATCTGAAGCTATGTTAATTTACTTATAAAAGGCATGATGCATATCCGCATACTTATGCAAGATTCTTCATTTTCTTTTACGCATAATGCATATGCTCAGAGATTTTTGTACGTGCATGAATTACTTGAGTTCCTTGAAGAATATTTCTTCTTTCTGTAAATCACTCGACTGATTAGTATAACCATTCATCATTGGTTCAATATACCTATCGGTGAATCCACATCTATTCTTAGTTATAATATTCATTAAGGCCCTATTTGTGCCACATTATTTGGAAAAAAAATACATTCTTAAACAGTGTTTTGACATCATTTCAATTACATATTCTTCAATAAAATAATATTATACGCAAATTCAAAATTTTTCCTTATTTTTTAACCTCACATTCTCCATTAATCTGCTATTTCAAAATACATTCTTTAAAATCATGTGGCTCAAACACATACTAAATGCATATTAAAAACTACATTGATTGCAAATGGTAGTTGTCTTTCTATCATTTCAACTTGTGTGGTACTAAATTATATGATTCTGAACAATCTGAACTTACAAATAACCCTAGGAGAGTGGTTATTATTGCCATTTCTAATTTTTATGCTCACTCCTCCAGGAAAGTAGCATGTAGAGGCATTTTCAGAATTATGAACAACCTTGCCCTTTTCTCCTTGGAAATCTTATATCTTGGTACCCAAAGTTGTCTTGTCCTATGCTGGGATGAAATAGAGGCATCCATCAGTATAAATTCGTTTTCTGCTTTTCTTTCCTTTCCCAGATTAAGTTTGTTTTGCCAGGAAACTGAAAGAGTTCTTACGTCTGAACTTCAGCGGTAATTTATTCTCGGTTTTGGATTCTTTGAAATTGGTATTTATTCTGTTGAAATCTTAGGACTCTAGGTTCTGCACTTTTAGCAGTGAACAATTCCTGCTAGGAGTCCACTCACCCTTGTTTCTTGGCTAATTGTCTTTTTGGTTTAGCCGTTGTCATAATTTACCAGCTTGTGTCAAAAGCACTTTGCATACATCAGAGGCCAACATTAAGAATGCTTGTGAAACTTTGCAATATAACTCGAAGGAGAAGGTTTTGTTCTTTTGCTCAAATTCTTTATAATTGACACATCATTGTTGACCTTTCTTATGTTTATTTGTACACCTTGCCAACTATACTCGAAAACCAAAAAAAAAAAACTTAAATTGTTTTGACAGAAAAAATAAAAAAGCATCATTTTGAGACTTCATTCATGCATATGTACTTGGAATTCCACCAGTCAGTTTAGGTGCATATCCCTCCTTTGCCTCTTTCACTTCAGCTGTATTCAGAGAAATTCATTCTTGCCAAGTGAACACATTTGTCTTTCTCAATTCTCTACTAGATTCCATTCAGACATATATGATCTTCTGCTGTGCTTTGTGTTGTGCATGTGGCTCATATAGAGTGGACCACAGGTCCTGGATCAAATGGGCCGATGCCGGCGCAGTATTTTCTGTACGGGCCTTAAAGTTTTATATGGGCCCAGGCTAGGGTTAGTATAAATAATATGTTGTAACTCTATTTTTCACAACTAAATAAAGAAATCTCCGCTTCGCTCTCGTGGACGTAGACAAATCGCCGAACCACGTAAAATTCTTGTGTTGATTTTTGTTTTTCATCTCTTTAATATTGCGCATAAAATCCAACACTTTGAAAGAGGGACCTCAAAAAATTCCATCCCATTGTGGGAAGTATATCAGCATAGCAAGTGTTATCCTTGTTTCTGTTGAGTATCTGGACTTTCTATATTAAATTACTTGCATTAGAACTGATTGAGAGAGAGTTATATTTTGACTTTTTCTGTAATATATGATTTTTTTTTTTTTTTTTTTTTTTTTGATGATTTCATCCCCCACTAACATATGGGCACTACTGCTTAAACCCCCAAAGTTGGAGCTCTCGGCAAAACAGAATGGCCTCCACAATCACCAAAGGCCTCCCAAAATTCACCACTGAAACTCTGAAGCTTGCTGCAAAACAATCTCAGCGCTGCCACATCGTCCCTGTCCGCCTTCGCCGTGCCATAAAAAAGTACATCCAAGGTAAAATGAATAATAATAATAATAATAATAATAATAATAAGAATAATAATAACACCGAAAAAATTGAGATTCATACATTCCATATTTTGGATTTAATTCTTAGTTTTTTAATGTAGACCAAGATGTTGAGCACATGAGGAGAAAGGTGTTGAGTTTGTCGAAATCATTCAACGAAATCAAAGAAGTGAATTTACTTTTGCCGACCACGAGTTCAAAGGGGCTAGTAGAAGATCCACTCAAATCTATGGAACAGTCTCAGAGGTGGAAAGTAAAAACTGCTTATGGTGATATTGGCCTGAGGTATCAGGAGGATCAGACCATTGCTTACTTGGCTGCACGAATGCCTGCTGTTTACTCTGCTCTCTATCGAGTCCTTAGCGAGGTATAGAAGTGTGATATGTTCAAATGCATTTATCTGTGTGTGCGCAATGTCATTTTGTCCCCACTGAATGTTTTAGAAATTGATTGAAATATATCGTGTTAATTTACTTGATTTTGGAGATCAGTACTATAAATATATTAAATTCCTTGGAAATACTAATATTTGGAAAAAAAAAATGTATATGAAAAATGAGGGCTTGAGTTTCGAAATAGAAGAGGATTTGTTTGGCTTTTTCCAAACTCCAGTTGGAAATTTAATTTACGATGGAGGGAGTAATAGAATTTGAACTTCAAATATAAACCTCGTGAACACGAATTTTACAGGTTGAAATGAATTTTATAGGTAAGAAGAAGAGTGCCAGAATTTATGCCAGCTAAAGTATTGGATTTTGGTGCAGGAACAGGATCGGCAATGTGGTGAGAATGTAATTTTGTTGTGTTTTTCTTGGGTAAATTTTAGGACTAGTGCATAGGATTGTTTAAGTGTCATTATATCTTCTGTCTTGTTACTTAGTGTGTGGATTTTAGTTTCTAAATTGTGGTTAAATGAGATAGGGCAATGATGGAGGTGTGGCCTCGGTCTTTAGAGACAATTAATTTGGTGGAGCCATCACAGTCAATGCAAAGAGCTGGACAAAGCCTTCTTAAAGGTAAATTTTGGTGCATTGCCATTGTCATCAAGAAATGTGTGGAAAGAGTTTGTATTTAGAAGGGCATTTCCCATTTAAATAAATAACTGCTGCTCATTTTTTATTGTGGTATAAGTGGGCTTTAGTTTATTGGTCATGCTTTGATTGTCATGAAAGATGCGAGTACATTGGAGTAGAAATGTATTGTTTAAAAGAAGACTGAGATAGAAGAGTGTAAAGGATCTTGGTTATCAGTGTAAAGGATTGAGGCTTCCATTACCTTGGTTACTTCGAATATATTCAATAAATACGCTTATAGTAATGTGTAAATACATGTACTTTCAGCAACTGGTCTTTATTGTACTGCAGTTGTTGATTTATTGCGCTTTACACTTTCACTTTATCAACATTGATTGTTCTTCTTGATCTTTAAGGATTCCACATGCTCTTGGGATGCTAGAACATTTAATTTCCCTTATAATGTTTTATTTTATTTGATGTTCACAGAGAATGTTATTACCTTCGATGTTTAAAAGGGCTTGATCTGGTACTAAGGTGTTTTATCGCTATAAGGCGAGGCATAAGCCTCAATATAGAACAATAAAAGAATTCAAAAGAAATTAAAAAAAAATGTGCTCATAATATACAATAATTTTAAAATATCCAAAATAAAACTAATTAACAAAATTAAAAGTGTAACTTGCAAATAAACATTAAATAGATCAGGAAAATAAAATAATAATAATAATAATAAGTTTTCAAATTAATAATCATCTAGCAAAATTATACAGCTCAAAAATAATATGTTGTATAAGGGAATCATTTTCACCATTGTCATAGTCCTCGTTACAAGTTTCTTTTCATTCTTTGTCGTCATCCTCCAATTGCTTGCATGTTGGTAAACAAAAATTAGGTAAAAATAAATAAAATTGTAAAACGTTTTTGGTTATAAAGAAATGACTCAAAAAGATGAGGCCAATAATTAAATATTTAATAAATGCTAGGCTAACTTGAAAACACCTTAGTTGGCTTGAGGCTTAGGTTTGAAGTGTAATCCTCACAAATGGCCTTTAAAGTTCGGGTTTTGATGTTTTCATGATAATCTCATGTGAGGCGAGTTTTGATGCATAAGCCTCAATAGTTTTTTAAAAGCATGATTACCATGCCTTAATAATATTGTTTTCTTTATTCGGTGACAAATGCAGGTTTAAAGAACCTGCCACTCATTCAAAGTTATGGTAGCATACAAGCGTTATCTAAGAACACAAATAAGTCTGGCAGACAACATGATCTGGTCATTGCTGTGAGTATTATCCTTATTTCCCTCACTCTCTCAAGCTTTTTTGGAGTTATTGACTAATACGGTAAGACGGTAAGGGTCTGTTTGATTGCAAAGATGGAATTTGGGTGGAAAGAAAACGAATTCCAGGGAACGAAATTGTCTAGAAATTATTTTCCTAGGAATTGTAAATTATTATATTTGATTGGTATAATTTTTCACGTGAAAAATATTGAAATAAAAGTGTTTTTTAGTGTTCGTTTGTGAAAATTGTCAATTAAAGGGATAAAATTTATTGGGACTAGGGATGAAATTTGTTCTCATTGCCCAAAAAAAAAAAAAAAAAAAAAAAAATTCAAGAAAATCATCTATCTTTTGGTGTTCGTTTGACTTTATTTTACATGAAAATTGTCGATTAAAGAGATGGAATTTATTACAATAATTCTTAAAATTTGTTTCAATTGCAAAATAAAAAAAATACGTGAAAATGTGGAATTTCAATTCCCACCATTTTGGTGAGAATTGAAATTCCATCATTTGGGGGAATTTGCTTATGTGGCAACGAAAGATGGAAAAGGAATTCCATGTCAAATTTGTGCCATCAAACACATAAAAGATGGAAAATGGAACTTATTTTCCATTTTCCATGGAAAATATAAGCCTATCAAACATAGCCTAACTATAAATGCGGGGAATTGTTGTTTAAAATCCTTATTTGCTTAAAATTACCTAAACCTACTTAGTTGCTGATTAATATTTAATGTTTCATGCTATTGGGGGAAGTCATATGTGCTCGGCGAGATTCCATCATTAAAAGACAGAATCACTCTTGTGCGCCAACTTTGGGAACTTACAGGAGATATTTTGGTAAGTTTGAAATCGATTTTATCATATGCTAGTCTTATTATGCATTTAGTATTCTTCCAAAATGCTGAACATACTTTCATCTTTGTATGGCATACCTTCAAGATAGTGAGATATATGGATTTGTTTCAATTGACTGAACAGCACAGCACAGGAGTATAATCAGTCATTTCTTCTATAGATTCTCTTGAAAAAGAAAAGAGATTTGTAATACATTACTATTTTTCTTCAATGGCCTATTTATACGCAAGGGAGACATTAATCAGTTATGTTTCATGGGACTGTGATTAGGCATATACCATGTTTTATTGGATTGGGGATTGAAATCAAACTAGTTTTCTTTAGTTTGTGTATCTTTGTTTCACATTAAATTTGACGGAGTTCAAAATATTTTGCTATTTTACTTCTGAAACTTCTTTAGTAGTTGATAGAAGTATTAATAATATAATGAAAACGTCTTGGAATATTTAATGAGCTAGAAAGCAAATCTGCAACATTAACCTTGTTACAATGAAGGAAAAAATCTGTCCTGCTTCAAACTGAAGAATTATTTGAGCAATCACCTTGAAGTTCAAACGTGGGGGTTGAGGTGGTTGGGGGGGGGGGGGGGGGGGGGGGGTTTTTTTTTAAATGGCAGAGGGAGAGATGGGCTGGCCACATTTGATGTTAATTCGAAGGAGTGCCCATTTTCACTTGCACTTTGACATTCTTTTAGCCAATGTTGAGTTGCTCCATACACTAGCTTTTGGTAGTGGTCTCAACTCTCCACTTTCTTGAATATTGATTGCTTATTTTCTAATATTAGAAATAAAATGAGTGAAGAGAACAAGTCCTCAATTCCCATTAATTGATGAAATGACTAGTCCATTAGCAAACTCATCATGTCCACAATTTTTTCCATTTGGTAATTAACATGTTAGGCTAACTTCAAGAAAGTGACTTAACATGCTAAATTAAAGAAAGTGACTTTTCAACTACCAAGTAACCTAGCGTCAGAGTGTGGATCGTACCAGTTTCAAAGTAGTAGGGTAACCATGCAAATTGTTTATCAAATCAAAAACCAATATATATATATATATATATATATATAAAAGTTCAGATAACTTCCTCCTTGTTACGTTGCTTTCGACAAGGCTCCAAGAATGGTAGCAAGCGAATCTAGTCCTACACTCCACGTCACTCTGTCTATGTGGCAATTTCTGTCAAACCCCCATGAAGAGGTTTAACCTTATGGAGAGATCGAGCCCAAGTGTAGGGTCTAAACCCTCATGGTGAGGAAGGCAGTCAGAGACACTGTATTGAATCTTTCGTATAAGATCTTTTATGAATGATTGATGTGACAACTTATTGCAGCAATCACTTTATTAAGCATATGTTAATTCTAGTCCTTACAACCTAGACCATAGTGCTGCAAATGGTCAGAACATTGAATGCATACGAACGTAGGATTCACAAAATGAGGCCTATGACAAGGCGCCTCAACCATTAGGATGAGGCACATATCTCTCTCTCTCTCTCTCTCTCTGGAGCATATGTGTGCTTGCGCTAGCTTGTGATCTCATAAACACTTGTGGAGGATGGCACAACAGGGTTATAAGATTTTCAGTTTAATCTCAATATCCTTTTCCGACTTCTGGTGCACATGTTCACATTCTCAGTTTGTGCATATCTAAGCTTAAGAGAATTCCGTTTTTCAGTTATAGATTGTTATAGAGTGGCCACTGTCTATCGAGTGCTCACCATTTCGTTCTCATGGTGACGAATCCTAATCAGTACATTTCAAGTAGATTAGGAATTTTTCCATCTTTTCATCAATCCCACTCGCAAATCTGTGAAGTGTTTGATGATTGCCACAACGTGTCTTTTCTGGATATTAGCATGATTTGAGTTTTTCTTTTTCTCTTCGCACTTGTGGATTTTGAATTGTCATTATACAGTATCTGTTTCATGTAATAAGGCAAACATTTATTATACAACTTATCCCTTGTTAGGCAAGTGTTTAAATTATTAATACCTTTGGTCAAACCAATTTTATCCATCATTTCTATTTATTTCTAATTTAAACCGATTATAAACAATTCCCAAACATGCGTTTAATGGATGCATTTATCTACCATATCTATGTGTTGTCTACATCTCAAGAATACTGGTTCTCCTGATTCAAAGGCTATAATCATCTTATTGTTGTTCTTAATTCAAATTTTTTTCGTATCTGTAATCTGCGTATTTAAATTTTACCTTCCTTAAGTGTGTTCTTGATAGGCCACCGGTTAAATATACTTATTCTAGAAGAAACAAGAAGAGTGGAGAGTGAGGGCAGTAACCAATTCTGTTCGCATAGCAGGGAGAGGTGAGTAAATTCTGTTACAGAGACTATAAATAGGGGCTGAATAAAAGTGTTAGGCATGAGATAATTAAGTGAGGAAATCACAGTGTGGAGAGTCACAGCCCTCCCGAACGGCTGCTTATGTTCATCTTTTCATTTCTTGTAATTCCGGTTAACTTCAAATTAATACAAAGTTTCCTTTTCACTGCTACTTATCTTCTTAACACAGCTGAATCCTATCAATTTGGTATCAGAGCACTACAACACCAATCACCACCATGACACTAGCCGAAAGAGTTGGAGAATTGGAGCAGAAGGTGGATAATAATCACCAAGAGCTTTAGATGGGTATTGAATCACTCCGTTCGGAGTTCAAAATAATGCATGTTGGGATGACAGAGAGGTTCGAAATGCTGATGCGTAATTGGGATATCCACGAGAAGGAGCGAAAGGAGAAGGGTCCGGCAACGGAGAAATCTCCGATGATGACTGAGTTAAGACTTGGCAGCAACCGAAGCAATGAGGGAGGATCGAGCGGTGACTGGCGCGGGGAGTCTCGAGTTCGGCGACTGGAGATGCTCGTTTTCGAAGGGGGCGATCCGGACGATTGGGTGTTCCGAGTAGAAAGGTATTTTGGGGTTAATAGGCTCACAAAAGAGGAGAAGGTGGAGGCGGCCGCCCTTTGTTTTGACGGCGAGGCGTTGGCATGGTACCAATGGGAGGAGAAGCGTAAACCGATGAGAAATTAGGGAGAGGTGAAGACCCAGTTGCTAAGACGGTTTTGACCCTCTCAAGAGGGATCTCTGTGTGCTCAATTCTTGTCACTCAGGCAGAATTCGACGGTCCAGGAATACCGTCAGCGGTTT